GAACTGTACTTAAATCTCTACCTAACATAGATATTACATTTTAAGAAAATTGTATAATTTAGCCAATGTGGGAATTTGTGTATAAACAATGCTTGAAATCAGTGAAACACTTTTTTAGGGTTAGCAAAATTGGAAGCAATAGGGCATTTTGCACTGTAATCATTCATGCCTTTTGTAAAAGCATTTTGACACGCATTTCCATTCGTGCAAAGAACGATATTGCCAAATTTAGTGATATATTCTATAATTCAAAGCTATAACTTTTTTGGGAAAAAACGATATACCCCTGCTGGACTCAGTATTAGGGGTGGGGAAGGAAGTGTTTAAGCTTAGGCCTAACCACGAAGCTGACTGCCTTGTTAATCTTTGGGTTAGGAGGGAGGGTGGGTTCCAAGACATGAAGGTTAAATGCTACTGCCTTAGGCTCACCTCGTAAGGACATTCTGAATCCATGATCCTCACAGCAAAAGGAAAAAGCAATGAGTAGCTGCTTCAAAAACCACAATTATTCTATGTGAGTTAAATTTCCTACTTCAGATCACGGCACTACACACTAGTGACTAACGGCCAGGTCTGATTTTCATCCCCTTTTGCAAAGTTACAGCACACAAGTTGCCGTTTCAATTTTGTCAATTATCCTGCAGTTAGGGATGTGACGAGTCCACGGTAGACACTGGCTTTCCTAGAATTGCTTTTGCGAAAACACCACATGCTGTTCAATACAGCCAAACAGCTTTGTAACTGCAGCTTTCGAAAGAGTTTGGAAAGGAAAAACACAAAATATGCAACACGTCTAAGATTAGTAACATCTTTCACTTTTGTGACATTTGACAAAATACATTTTTGCTCGTAGTTCAGGAAAATTCTATGCAGACGAAACAGTGGAAACTACGGAAACGGTGGCCATTTGGCTTTTGGCTAAAGCATCGATTTTCAAATACAGCACTATGGCAACTAACACCAAAGGGCTAATAGAATTTTGTCACTCTCTGTAGGCCGACGTTTTTGCTCCCCCATTCGCTGTGGCTGTCGCCTCTAGTCCAGTCAATGGGGAGTTACTAAGGATTCAAACTCTGCAATGTTTCATGAGGAAACAATGACAATGAGCAGGAGAGGAACGTTTCTCAGCTCC